TTTTACAAAACCGTGTTTTGAGCGCGTGTTGAGCAAGACTTGACCCAAATCTGTATCTGGTCAAATTTGCAGGAAACATCAGGTATGAAAGAAATTTTAATGTTTTCTCACAGATTTTTACATATTCTATTCAAAAAATTTGGTTTTGGGTTGTTACCAGATACTTTTCAGAAAACTGTGTTTTGAGCGCGAGGTGAGGACGACGACCCAATTCTCTAACTGCCTAAATACCCAGGAAACATTGGGTAAGAAGAAAATTTTAGTGTTTTCTTACAGATTTTAACAGAATCTATTCAAAAACATTAGTGTAGGGTTGTTTCCAGATACTTTTTTGAAAACCGTGTTTTGAGCGTGAGTTGAGCAAGACTTGGCCCAATTCTCCATCTGGTCAAATTCGCAGGAAACATCGGGTATGAAGAAACTTTTAGTGTTTTCCTACAGATTTCAACACAATCTATTCAAAACAATTAGTTTGGGGTTGTTTCGAGATACTTTTCACAAAACCGTGGTTTGAGCGCGAGTTGAGCAAGACTTGAGCCAATTCTCTATCTCATCAAATTGGCAGGAAACATCCAGTATGAAGGAAATGTTAGTGTTTTCTTACAGATTTTAACACAATCTATTCAAAAAGATTGGTGTAGGGTATTTTCCAGAGAGTTTTTTCAAAACCGCTTTTTTAGCGCGAGTTGAGCAAGACCTGACCCAATTCTATATCTCGATAAATTGGAAGGAAACATCGGGTATGAAGGAAATTTTAGGGTTTTCTTACAGATTTCAACACAATCTATTCAAAGAGATTTGTTTGGGGTTGTTTCCAGACACTTTTCACAAAACCGTGCATTGAGCACGAGTTCAGCAAGACTTGACCCAAATCTCTATCTGGCCAGATTTCGCAGGAAACATCGGGTATGAAGGATATTTTAGTGTTTTCTTACAGATTTCAACACAATCTATTCAAAAAAATTGGTTTGGGGTTGTTTTCAGATACTTCTTACAAAACCGTGTTTCGAGTGCGAGTTGAAAGACTTGACCTAAATCTCTCTCTGGTCAAATTCGCAGGAAACATCGGGTATGAAGGAAATTTTAGTTTTTTCTTACAGATTTTAACATAATCTATTAAAAAAAAGAC